TCTTAAATAGGAAACATTGAAAAATAATATTACAATTTCAAATAAGGGACATTAATTTAAATATAAACTTACGTTTTAATAAAAACTAAAAAATAATCTTATAGCACACTTTAAGCATATCCATAAACATAATGGAAGCTAATGACAAAGGATATCAGTGATCTGTATGTGCTATACACTAATGTTACTTAATCAAGTCCTTCAGTAATTGATATCTTATATTATAAACAAAAAAATCGCCGGGATTTTTTAAAAAAATTCCAGTTATGACGGGCTTGATGGCATCCCGGCACTGGTTCGATGGGCCTAGCTCGTTCCGTTACAGTACAACCATGTATACGAAAATCATTTCAACCAAATGTTTTCAATGCTTTTTAGAAAACTCATCGCTCACTACAATTGAAATTGTATCATAAATCTAAAATTATCATAACTAAAAATTAATTTAATAGAACCAGATTCATTATTACAACGTATTTCAGCGTAGTTTAAATAAAAAGTGTTTAGTTACTATAAAATTTAATTATGTAAAGATAATACTCATTGCATATATTAAAGATTCAATTAAGTTTAACTCTCAAATAAATTTGAGTATTTTTAGTTGAATCTCCGTTAAATATTGTTGTTTAGTGAGTACTACGAATTTTTTTGTATCTTTTAAAATTATAGGTAGCATTTTAATTTTTCCTTGCTAAAATTTATAATTAACATAAATTATATAATTTAAAATAAAACTTTATTTCTATCTTGAAAAAAAAATTTAAGACTAAAACAATATCTTAAATGTCTACTAGACTACTCTATTTAGTGTTGTGTATTTTCTTGAAAAAAAAATTCTTCAAAAATAAAACATTTTCTATAATAATTTTCTTTAATAAATCAATAAAATAAATATAAAATAAATAAATAATAATTTCTCTTTTTGTCAAAAGTGAAACAATTGTCCAACTTACAATTTTCATGATCAATCTTTATCCTCTAGTGGTCGAATTTTGTTGACGAGGTTATTGTTTACAGGTCGAGTTTCATGGCCAAGGTTATCCTTTGGTGACATGGTCAATCTTTATCTTCTAGTGGCCAAACTTCGCGATCGAGCATTATTTCCTGATGGTCGAGTTTTATTCTCTAGTGGTTGAGATTATCCTCTAGTGGTTGAGTTTCAGGATTGAGCTTTACCTTTTATTGGTTGAGGTTATCCTCTATTGAAAAGTCAATAGAATTCGACGCTGAGATGCCTTTGTGACAAGGCGAGAGGTTGAGTCTGAGCTATGAAGATAGTTCAAAGGTGGTTCCTCTAAGGTGGTAGGAAACAGTGCAATATACCCTCTTGTATTGGGTGTGGATAATGCATGGATCAGATAGGCCTTCAGATGAGTCATCAGATTAGTTGTGCTGCATATCTTCAGATTTTGATGAGAATTCCTTTTAAAATGTTGGTCTGAGCTACTTCCAATTGTGAAAGGATGAAAGTTGTTAAGCGGGAATGAATAGCCGACCCTATCTTGGAAATTTAGATGTTAGGTGTGTGTCTGGGCAGTCTAATGTCCTTCATGGTTTATTTGTATGTCGAGATGGCCAATATAGTTATAAGACTCTGTCAACTCTCCATCTCAGTGGGGATTATGATGCCTTTATTTGTTGTGATCTCTTCTGGAGTGGCATGATTGTCGACGAGTCTCTTCAGTCATGTGCCAGATTGATTTGCTTTGAGCTCTTCGAGATTTATGCCAAGTAGATTGTCTACCACTCACTCGATTTTTGCTAGTTTATTCGTTTTTCTGGGGTGTTTTATGGAATCCTAGGACCCACTAATTTTATGTCTTGATATGGGCTGTGATATTTGTGTTGACCAAACTTTCGTTGGGAGTGGCAAGATCATCTATAACGTTCTCTCGTTTTGTGTCAGGTTGACCTGTTTCGTTCTCTTTGAGTCCAACGTTAAGAAGATCGATCTCAATTGGAGTGGCAACAAAGTCTACAACTTTATCTTATTTTTTGTCAGGCTGACCTACTTCGTTCTCTCTGAGTCTAATGTTAAGGAGATCGATCTCGGTTGAAGGGGCAAGAACATACACAAGTCTCTCTGTTTTGTGTCGAGTTGACCTGCTCTAGTGTCGAGGACACCGGTCTCGGCTTCTACTGGAATCTCATTGAGCTAACGGGTTGTGCTGCATCTGGGAGTTGCGGGGGTTTTCTTCCCAAGAGTGTGGCTGAGATCGAGGAGATGGTTTTTCATTCTTTAGGTCGGCCACTGTCCTAATCGAAGTTTCCCTAAAGTTCATGAAGGGTCCCTTCCTTTGTTTTTGTGTCATGAGGGTTTTTGACCTCAGACATCGTCATTGTTTTGTGTTTTTGGGTTATTCTGTTATATTAGCATCTGCACTGAGTGGCCACAACGTCCGCCATTGGGTTGACACTCCATTTTCATGGAAAAGTTGTGCTGACTTTAGTGGTGACCTGAGATGTGAGATCGGGAACAGTTTTATTGTGTCCCACTGGGAAAGCCAAAATGATCTTACCTCGATCTTGAACATTGTTTTACGGACATGTCGCAAGATTCCTAGGTGTGGCTTTAAGCTTTTATAACTGGTCCAAAAGGGAAGTTCCCTTGTTACTTATAGGAAGGAAACACCCCACCTACAAAACACTCTAGATATTTAAGTTAGTACAAAGTTTGAGATCTTTATAAATTTATCATGAAATAAGAAGTAATTTTCAAGTGAAGGGTTATGTGATGGTACTATTTCTATTTTATGATCACATAAATTATGAGCTTTGTTTCCCATTGAAATATACAGATCTCAAAAAACATTAATACATTGTAGTTAATCAAATACAAATGATACTCTTGAATCATAAGACTATAAGTTATTATCGAATTAAATTCTAATTATTTATGATACGTGGGATATAATAGATGTATTTGCTTAATATACTAGAATTTGGATAATTTTCACAATGAACAGATTTAATAAATTTTATTAGATTAATGTTTTTTTTATACTATCGCTTGACGATAAAAAACAAAAATAAAAATATATCTTTCAATAAAAAATATAAAATAAAATGCGAACTGAGAAAATAAAATGATATTTTGACCCACAAAATTATTTTACACTCACAAAATTAAACTCTTGTTATTCAAAGAAACAAGGTAAAAAAATTCCAACTACCTCGGTACAACAATCCACAAAGCTGGCAACTGTACAAACAAATTCACATGTGAGTATGGAAAGTACTGCTATATCTCAAAACAAAACATATGCCTAATCAAGCAAGGCCAAAATATTATACGTAAATGTGAAAACCTAAAACATAAGGTCTATATGATAGGAGAATATGAATCAAAGAACAAAGGGATAACATTGACATCGTACCTAAAATGCTCGTAGAAGGACAATATTAAAGAAATATAGAGATAGCTAGAAAAGGATGAACACGTTTAAAGCCAATCCTGATCGGCAAAGTTAGTTGAAGGCAAAGATTTTTTTTTTCTTTTTTCATAACATTCACTTAAATAACCTCTAAAGAAACAAGATAGTTTTTTTGGAGAAAATTGCTTCCATGCCAAAAGGATGTTTTGAATTTTCTCCTAAACATAAATTTTTGTATTAATAACATTTCATGCTTAGATTCTACACTGGAATTGGACTAAAAGATTATTATTAAATTACAACTACTTATTGAATGATGAATTTTATTTTATTTTTTGCAACGGTGAAGGAAGTTAGGCGTGGCCGTAAAGTTTTAATGGATAGGAGAAGATGAGTCAAGAGCATTTAAGTAACGGTGATGCTTTCGGACCGCACTCGCCATAAAACCATTGTACTGGTCCTTTATATCGATTATTCCGACTTCCACAGGCCACCCACTCACTTCACTGTGGACCCTCCCCTTGACTTTTTTCCATCACTTTTTTCAACAAAAGGAATCTAATCTTTCAACTTAGATCTCCCAATATTATTATTACCATTATTCATACATAGATCGTATATATTCTTCCCACCAAATAATTCAACTCCCATATCAAATCAAATAAATAAATAAATAAATGCCTCGTTTGCATAAATAAAAAACGATTCACTATATTTTCATTTCATTTCGGGTCAAATTTACACAAAAGTCCTCGTCAAATTTAGACGACTCCGTCAAAGTCCACACCGCAAAAGTTGACTTCCAACCCAACTTTTCCGCGCTTCCTCGCATCCGCCGTTACCGTCACGGCCGGACGGGCACTTCCCTCGAGTTTCCGACACCACGCCGTTGGCTAACAAGCTCAAAGCCCGAAACCACCGCCGGTAGCGGCAGGCAACGGAAGCGCGTGACGGTGCTCGCCCTCGTACGTCACTATCAGCATCTTCGGGTCATCTTGCGCGCGCTCCACGTGCTTCCTCGCCGGACACCCTTTGACGGTGCTGCACTTGTAGTACCCACTGCCAAAAACACAGCATTTTGTATAAGAATTTTTCAATTCCCAGATTCCATTAACTTGAACCCATGAAAACTACGTACATGATTGAAAGCCGAAGTTTCAGTTAGATGAAGAACCTATTATAGTATGGTTTTTTTCCCTTAAACTTAAAATCGAATTTTTTTTTACAGACATTCGAGATCTGCTTTGACTTCAACCCAGTTAACTAACAAGCGATTGAAAAAGAATAGATAATACCGAGAAAGTTAACTCCTTTGAATCGGTTTTTTTTTGCCCGTACTTCTTTCCTTACCTCTCCTCAGCATTGCCGTGTCTGTATCACTCGGCCGGCCCGGGAGGTCGGCGATCTTGGACTTAATCGCCGGACCTCTGATGGATTAGTTTCAACACGCGCGTCGGATTTGTCCTGAATAAAACGAATCACATCAGTGTTTGCTCTGGTTTGGTTTTTAATGTTGTTATATAAAATTAATTATTTTTTGTTGAAGGGTGCAGTGGGAAAACCTTTTCTTGGACATGGGCAGGAGGTTTTGGCGGAGTGCGCGGGCGTCGCCGGCACTTTGTATTTCCGGTGGGCAATGAGGAATAGAGGTTTTTGCGTGCGTGAGGGAGGGAGTAAAGTGAACACGATCTGTTCCGTCGGAGACGCCTGGCGTCGTTGGTGACGAAGGTATCAAAAGTGAACGCGGATGTGGTGGTGGTTTGGGGAGATTGAGGTAGAGTTTTTCTCTTGTGTTGCGGGCTTAGAGTTGAAATGGATGGTTTTAAGAAATTCCCACAGTGACGAACCCTTGTTGGGTTTGAGGTTGGCTTGAGTTTTGGTTTGGGTTTTGGTTGCGGTGGGGGCCTGGGTTGGGGTTTGGAACGTGTGCAACTCGCCCCCCCCCCGAAGCGGGCGTGGCCGGTGCGGTTGGAAAGGTTTTTTAAGGTCCCTGTTTTGACTTGGCTACGGTGAAGTTCCGGTGGTGATCTTGGGATCAATCGATGTTGTTGTTTTTCAGAAACAACAGAAGAAGATAATTGCCAGGGATAGGGACGAAGGAGGCGAATGACAGTATTTGCCTTCATGTGGTGCGTTTCAAACCTCATCGTGAAGCAACGCGTCTTTTGGAAGTGAGCTCTTCATCCTGTTCTTCCTCTCCTTGTCTCCGTTCGTCCTATCCTCCCTCTCTCACTCTCTCTAGTGGTCCTGTGGCAACTTTCGTTCTTAACCTCCTGCCTCCCAGATCCAGCTGCCCGTGCCCGCCGGGAAACATTGGTACACACAGACCAGTTCTCGCGGGGTTGGGTAAACTGTGACAAATAAGCGGCTCCACGACTCGTGCCTGTGGCGGGCCGGTTGGGTCTTCCCGTTCCCTGCTAGTGTTCTCCTTTTCGCTTTCTCTTTGCTTGCGCACTTGTGTTTCCTCGGTACTTGGTTGCGGGGCGTTTTGTCTGTGATTTGGGGGGGGTGGCGGCCTGGACTCTTTCAGGTAGTCTCATCACCGTCGATTATTAAGCTGCATTGAGATTGCCTCTTATCGGGGTTCTTTGGGGATGTCTACACTCGAGTGCAACAATGGGTGTTTGGAGCCAAGCGGCCCAACAGGTCTTGGGTGGGGGGCAACGCAAGTGATGCGGTTCAATCAGTACAGTGTTTCATCCTGCTCCACCGACTCACTCCTTACAATGTCTAAGAGTGGCCCACTAGTGGGATCTTGCTCACAGTGTGGCCCAAAAGAAGGTGTTTCTGGGGGGGGTGTGGCCACGGCCTGCGCAGGACGTGTGCGTCGCCCGATTGAAGAGACCCAGAAAGAAAGAAAAGGTAAGGACAGAGGAACAAAGTCTAGAAGTGAGCGACCTCCGCTGTGCAGCAGGCCGGGTGTGCGCGGGCGCGGGTGGTGGTTGCCTGTGGCTCACGCGCCACGGGTGCGTTTGGCACCTACCATAGAAAGCTCATCGCCCGGGGGCAGTTGACATGAACGGCCGGGGGGCCGCGCCGCTGGACGGCTCATATCTGCGCTGAGCCTTCTCTCTTTTGCCCTTCTATGTGCCCAGGGTCTCGTCTGTCGGGCGACACATTAGGCAGCCGACGGGCGTCGGAGCTGGGCCCGGGCTTAGGGAAGTTTGCCGAGAAGAGAACAAAAGAGAGGGAAAAGGGGTGGAACGCGAGGGCGGGCAGCATACAGAGTAATATCCGACGGAGCGAACTCAGAAGAGGCAGCGGGATCTCGCGTTTACTCAGTCCTGTTCTTCCTTGTCCGTGGCAGGGCATCCCAGTCCTCCCAGTATACGGCCAAGGGCCCCCTTTCCCTCCCTGCCTCTCCCCGCCTCTCGAAGGCCGACGGCCGGGGCGGCGAATAACGGGCCGGGAACACACGGGGCCAGCGGGCCGAGGACGCTATCAACGGGCTATGTGTGGGCGTTCTGCGTTCGAGTCAAGTGATCAATCCTCCTATGTTCCCCGTCTCGATCAATTGTCCTCCGCCATGCTCTGGGGGGGCCAAAGACACTACTCGCTGTGTGCCCACTAGCACTGGGCTATCGTTGTTTCTTGGTCACCGCACGCCACGTCTTCTGCACTTCACAGATCTCCGCCCTCTCTCTTTTTGGGCGGGTGGGGGGGGAACACGGACATGAAAACACGTTTAATTGTAATGTATACATTATAGAGTCAAAGTCGATTTTACAATAATATTTTTTTTGTAGATGGGGATGAATATAAAATTTCAATATAAATATCACATTTACATGTTTAAAGTAATTCCAGTACAATAACCTGAATTACTTATGAAAATAAATTTTTTTTTTTGAATTGCTTAAATTAGGTAATTCTTTTTAGAAATCAATCTATTTAAGAAAAACAATTCGTATTACTTTTCTTATCATTACAGACTCAATTTTTAAAATTTCCACACTGGTTCTTCATATATTTTAAAAATTCTCTTAAATTACCCTTTAGACGTATATATTTAGGATTTATCTTTTAATCAGAAATTAAATATAATTTTATAAATATCAATGTTGGATGCTTTAAAGAGTAGGAGGGCAAAGTTTAAAAAACACTAAATATCTTTCTCATATCACCGTAGAAATGTAATTGTTTCATATAGGAAGTTCATTTCACCAGTAACCGATAATTCTAAGTAATATTTTAACATGACTAGTTAACCTGGTGATTTGCTATATTTACATATTATTAAAAATAGCTTTTAGATAATTATTAATTTTTTTTTATTGAGAAGGCAAGGATGATAGGGTGCGTGCCGGCCTATCTACATGTTATGCATATGTGTATGTATGGAAAAATTTACTCTATTAACCTAAAACCCAAAGACAAAAATACTAGTTGATACATACAGATAAAAATTATGATAAATAATTGGTGTATGTAAATATTTATTTTTTTAATAAATATTTTAATATTCATTTATAAATAGACTGATGTAGATATTATATTATTTATGTTTATGTATATTTATTATTTATAAAAAATTAAAATTAAAATTTAATTTATATTTTATTAGATTAAATTTAATTAAAAATAAAATTAATTAGTATTTTAGTTATATTCCCTATTTCATTTACATTGATACTTCTATTCTATTCTCTATCGCTTCATCTCGATCTTATTTCAGCTTTTAATTTTTAAAATTGATAAAATATGTTTTTTAAAATATTTGTAAATCATTCACATATACTCCACTGATGTTAAAAATACTCTTTTCAACCTGATATTCAACTCGGAAATCCATAACACTGTTACGAATAGTATTGGATAAAACACTATATATATGCCTTATCCGTCCCTTCATTACCATCTCTAAAATAGCTCTATAAGATATTTCTGCTAAACATATATTTAATTTTTTTTTATTTCAATAAACACTAATAATGTTCAAATAAATGAAATCTACTCCTTTGACCCACTTGTACGTTGAGGACCTAAATGGAAAATAAATTCATCAAAGTATTTTAAAAGTTTAGATATTTTAACAAAAGTTTATTTTCAAATAGTTTTATTAGATGGAGTAAAGAAAAATCAAAACAACGAGATATATAAGCATGCGAATAAGATGTATAAATTTTGTCAAACCAAACCAACAATACGCAACATAAAGACCCGTTTAAGAAGAGGCTAAAAATTATGTAATGATTAAAACAATTGTGCAAAACTATTAGGATGATAACCATATATAGTGGTAAACATGACACAGCATTACACACTATCAAATTAACCAAATGGCAAATATCTGTATATTCTTATATTATACTAAAGGTAATATTTATTAAAACTTGAAACACAATGCTACGAAAGATTAGTGTGGAACGTGTCAGCGAAGCTTCGTCTTTGCACATATTTTTTTCTTTTTTGTCCCTTTTGTCATGGTTATGAACATCTACAAAGAGCACGTTATGGAACTTTAGGTTTTGAAATAACCTTGGATTCTAACCCGATTTTTTTATAAAGGCAAGGCTAATGTAGCATTAATACTTATTCACTCCATGACACACGTAACATGGATCACCACTTTTTGATTTCTTTTGCAGTTCAAGGCTCAAAATCCCAATTTCGCCAACACCATTGGGAAGAGCAAACCTTGGTCTGATGCTCTTACTATAAAATGAAAGTATTCAAGACATTCTTATTCTCGTTTCAATGCATGGAGAGTTTCAAAAGCCGGGAATCAAAATACTTAATGCATTTTATTGTAATTTCAAATATCCATGTTCATCTGCGTTTTTATGACTAAAATAAAACAAGTACTTACTCTTTTTTTTACTTACATTTCGATTAATTTCCTTGATCAGACTACGTGAATCTCTAATCATCTTTATTTAATAACTCTTCTGACATGCACAAATTCCACTTAAAACTCAATTGACTTGGCAATTACTAAATATCCGTATATGTAATCCGCGACAATTGTGTGTAGCGAAACTCTGCACTCCTAACGAAAACACTTCTTAGTTAAAAAAAAGATCAAATTTCCCTCTTCTCAAACATCAAATATCGCTTTTCGAAAGGTAAATTGCGACCCAAACCTTCAAAGGTTTTTAAAGATAAATTGGTAAAAAGTCAAGCACCAAAAAAATAAAATAAAGACGACTAACAGCTACCTGTCTTAGATCTCATTTAGAATTATTACTAATTTCATTTAACAACACAACACATTAACAATCATTGCAACTAAAACTCTTGAACTCGCAGGATATCCCAAATCCCAAACACCTGCCTTGAGATACGATCGCGGAATCACTACAATTCGACTTTAGTTCATTTCCCCTTTGGTAGTGCAACATTCTCGCTGCCCCATACTCACACTACCATTACATTTTAAGTTTACATACATGTCCAGGTTTTAATGAGTTCCCTTTTATTTTAACTATTATGATTAATTTGTTAATTTCAAATAACCACTCGTGGGTTTTAATTTCTCTCGTTTCCTTTTATTTCTTTTCAAAACGGACTTCCCCAAAAAAAACAAAAAAAAACTTTTAATAGTATACCAAGTTTAAAAAAAAGACGTGGTATGAACCAAAAACAATACTTCGTCCCATTAAAGGTTGATTTGTTGAAAAAAAACTATATTATTAATTCTTAATTTTGGTGGAAGATTTAATATATGGAGTTTTTTTTTTTTTAAAAAAAATAACAATAAGAATATTTAAAATCGTGAAATGAAACTTTGACAAAAAAATCATTGTATAGTAAACAGACAAGAAAACTTGTTAAACCTATAGAAATAGTGTAAGGATTTTGTGTGGGGGAGAGAGAATTGAATTAAATTAGAGAAGAAGAAGGTTCGGTTTGACATTTATTATGATGGTTTTTTCTAACATTGACATTAGCATTGTGTTCAACGTTTTAGTGCAACTACTACGCAAGCTCACCACATCCACAGAAAAGTAATTAATAAAGCATTTGAACATGGTTATAGTGGCGATGGATGAGCGTCCGATGAGTTGACGATGATCGAACGGTGGTGATGCGGTGGCTGAGGTAGTTGACCTAATATTAGGTTTGAATAATGGGGAAGCACATGATAGGAAATTGGAGTTTGGGTCAAAGCCAGCAGAATACAGTAATTGGTTTTGTGGTTCATGCC